AATGAATAAGATGAAGGTTTGGATGGACACTCTGAAGACCGCAGATTCTCCAGAAGGAGATGATGAAGATTCTGACGATGATGAGGACTTGGAGCAGATGCTCATCAGTGAAGAGGAGCCTACAGGATGACTGTAGACCTAGTAAGTTGAGTTGTGCGTTTGTAATCATTTTAGGATGTAATTACTCTCATCTACTGTTCTAGGTTTTTTTTTGCATCTACAGCCATATGTTCTTCTACTAAGGACGGAAACAAAAAAAAGGACGGAGCAGCAGATAGAAGCAGAACATAACAGTGAGTCTACATGATAAGCGAGTCTTTAGGTGGAAGGGTAAGCTGCTCCTTGTAGTGTTCTTGGAAGCCTTATGGCTACTTCTAAGATCACTCTCTTTAAGAAGATCCTCTACGACTATATTTATAAGGATCCTTTTTGATGTTGAGATCAAGATGCTTATATAGAAGCAAAGATCAGCAATCCTGAGCGACTCCAGATCACGTCGAGTGACATTGAGAAAGATCATTGCTTGAATGCGAGAGACAGCATAAGATCTGACTTTTTTCTCTTAACCATTCAACAACACGATCATCCTACTGTTGCATTTAGCTTATAGGTATGACAATCATGGACGTGCTTTCTGTATCTAAAATGTGGGAACGTGTTTTTGTTCGTCGACGGGGTTACAATTTTTAGGGTGTGGCATACAATTGTTGTCACTAGACGTGTGCATCTAGTCATCTTCATTTAAGGTCTCTACTACCATCACAATCCACTACTTAGCTCCAGCTCATTGAGTATAGAGCTTGGTTCTCAAGAAAATATGTCGTCTTCTCGTGCTGCGAAACTTGCTCAGCTAGATACGCAACTCACGACTCTCAAGTTATGTGTTTCTTCTGCTCTTATATTGAATGTTCTAAAGATTCATTTAAGGTGAGTCTTTGTTTCGAAAAATATACTAGAGCTTTTAGGATTTGTAGACCTCTTCATACGACGAACGCAAAAAGAGTAAGCAGACTGAGTTGAGATTCCTGCAGAAGCAAATTGACGGTGCGGAGCAACAGAAAAAGTTTGTAGTCCGTGAAGCAGAACGTGTCCAGGCTATTCGTCAAGCTCGAGCAGAACGCATTCAAGCTCGTGCAAGTGCTCAACCAACTCCAAACGGGATCTCCGTGCAGCCGGGTGCTTGCGTTTTCCTTACGAAAAATATTTTACATCAATACTCAAGTATTTAGGATGTGCCTGTCATAAAGTTTTATTTCTAATATTCGCAATCCTGAGACGCCGAACTCCGTTCTAGGTGATATCCTGGAACAACAAGAAACTCCAGCATCTGTTCCGGGTGCAGTGTCGTCCTTAAACGATTCCGATCAGGAGGACTTGGATTTCCTTTTGGGAGAGGACCTTGAGGATCCTCTCTTGGAGCTTGAACCGAAAAAACAAAAGATCGACAGTGGAAAGGCTGCTTCCCCGTCGAGTGCTGGTTCTTCAAGTGACTCGTTGCTGCAGCAGGCCTCTCAACCAAGCCGAGGATCGTCGAGTGACCCGCTGCTACCGACAGGTTCTCAGCAAAGTTCAACCTCTTCCAGTACTCCTTTGCTGCAGACTGG